AAAAGAGAGTGATTAGGTCTTGCTCTGTTGCCTAGGCTGGTCTCAAACTCTTGACCTGAAGCAGTCCTTTCACCTCAGCCTCCCAAGTAGCTGGTGTTACAGGTACCAGCCATCAGACCTGGGTCAAGTTTTCATTCTTTTTTTGTTGTTTTTGAGACAGAGTCTCGCTCTGTCTCCCAGGCTGGAGTGCAATGATGCACTGTTGGCTCACTGCAACTTCTGCCTCCTGGGTTTAAGCGATTCTCCTGCCTCAGCCTCCCAAGTAGGTTGGATTACAGATGCCCGCCACCACGCCTGGCTAGTTTTTGTATTTTTAGTAGAGACGGGGTTTCACCATGTTGGCCAGGCTGGTCTTGAACGCCTGACCTCGTGATCCACCCACCTCAGCCTCCCAAAGTGCCGGGATTACAGGCGTGAGCCACCACACCCAGCCTAGTTTTCATTCTTAACATGAAATTTTGAACTCCTCAATATCTGTATTTTGTTATATTTGAAGGCTAAGGTTCACCTAAATAACTAAGTTTTAAATTCCCCCCCATAGAATGCTATGCATTTCAATCATAAGCATTTTTTAAATAATCCTAAGCTTTTCAGATTGTATATTTGGCATGCCTCTTGGCTGCTGTTGTGTGCCAGACAGACTGCAGTCTACTTTCCCAGATATTTAATAGACTAGACTTCTAGACCCAACTTTCTCAAATGCTGTTCTTACTAACTTATAGGGGAATGGCTAATGTCTAGATGTTTCTGAAGCCACTTTTCTTCCCCTTGCCACTTTCTTCTCAGAAGATTTATGGGAGATGTAGGTACTAAAGAGGGCAGGATCAAATTCATGTTTAGACTTTTTGGAGTATTTGATTCCTGCTGCAAGTCTTTACACAGCTTCCTTGCCTGAAATGCTCTCCAACCCCTTTCTCCTCCCAACACATATATTCCAAATCCAGCTTAGCCTTCAAGTTATTTTCTAAGAAAGGCCTTTCCTGACCTTTTAGCGTAAGGTATGTCCTTTTGTTTGCCTATATATATCAGCCTGCTCTCTTATTTACTCTTTCCCCTACTGGACTATAAGCTCTATGAGGGAAGAGATCATTTCTGTTTTATTTATTTTATTCCCAGCACCTGGCCCAGTT